TACATGTACATAGTCAGCTGTCTGGCGTCTGTTTACATGTACATAGCCAGCTGTCTAGGTGATGTTTACATGTACATAGCCAGCTGTCTAGGTGATGTTTACATGTACATAGGCAGCTGTCTAGGTGATGTTTACATGTACATGGCCAGCTGTCTAGGTGATGTTTACATGTACATAGCCAGCTTTCTAGCTCCTGTTTACATGTACATAGCCAGCTGTCCAGGTGATGTTTACATGTACATAGCCAGCTGTCCAGGTCTTGTTTACATGTACATAGCCGGCTGTCTAGGTGTCGTTTACATGTACACAGCCACTTGTCTGGCTTCTGTTTGCATGTACATATCCACTTGTCTAGGTCTTGTTAACATGTACATAGCCAGCTGTCTAGGTGATGTTTACATGTACACAGCCTGCTGTCGGACTAGATGATGTTTACATGTACATCGCCAGCTGTCTAGATAATGTTTACATGTACATAGCAGGCTGGCTGTCTTGGTGATGTTTACATGTACATAGCCAGCTGTCTAGGTCTTGTTTACATGTACATAGCCAGCTGTCTAGATCTTGTTTACAAGTACATCAAAACATTTTATTTTATATTCATTCATTAGGTATCACAAAGTCCATTGTGGTTTTAAAAAAATTGCCAAAAAATGCTGTTCATATAGTCCTTCTACATATCATATACACACTGCGGGTTTATTTATTTATTTATTTATTCGGAAAGCCCAAAGACAGGTACAGGCATCAAACCACCATCGATGAGGCGTTGATTTTGCAGCATAAAAATAGTATTCATTGAATAAAAAATACAGCTATGGAGTGACTGTTATTTTAGTCACACGAGTGTGTACTACAGATTTTCACAGATGCATCAAATGAATATTAAAGTTGTGTGCTACATGTACAAGAACATTTTTGGTTTATAATATAAGATGAGGTGTTCACCAACATGCAGTTTCAAACAATATTAAAAACCACATTCTCATTCATATCACATCTTTGATATTATTATAGTGGTTCAGGACCTTATTATGGTAATTTAATTCAATAACACAAATTGAATGCAGATTTGAAGCAACAAATCATATACAGATATATTACACATGTACTTTACACAGTCATTCAGTACGAGACTAAGTAGAACCAGCTGTCTAACACATCCTGGAATCAGCCCAGATTCAGTTGTCTAGGCATGCATGACTATTCTGACACATCTCTCTGTACTGCCTGTCCATACATAGCATGTACAATTCCAATGTAGTTTTCCACTACAAACAAGCTACAGTCCTGTGCGTACAACCACATGAGTTTACATCATGTCTAATCTTGCAAAGAACATTCAACTCCGCAAAGACAAAATATGCAAACTGGCGATACATGTCGAGGCAAGCATGGGCAATAACATGTAGAAAGGTTGAAATATAACGTATTGGCATATTGTGACATATGTTTCCACGACTGATTAGAAATTTTTGTTAAATCAGACAGAATAAAATAAATCTCAACCTTATTTCATATCCGGAATATTGGTAACTGTGGTACATATGCCATCATAATTAAATACAAATAGATTATAAACTCTAAAGCAATTCAAAATACATTGAATTATCTGAAAGCAATTTGTTTCTGGTGCACATTTATCACACATAAGCAATAATTTGTATGTATGCTTCAATTCAATTCAATTCAATAATATATTCATTATTTTATTTCAGTTAACAAAGCTAATAAAGATTACTGGTAATAGCCTCAAACAAGGCATGAGTGATACACCATGAATACATTGTATATTCAAGCCAATCCATTCATTAAACAATATACTGTAAAATACTTTATTTTAGCTGGAATTAATTTTACATCTTTAAATAAACAGTGATGGGGAAAATCATTATTATCTCATGTATTAAAAAGGGTGGGGTCAGTGATGGGCAAAATAATATATTACCGTAAAAGGTTGATTAATTTTCAGACAGTTTTTTGCAAAATATGTTCAATGAATGTTATTGAGTTTTAATACAAGAAAATTGAAATTTAGTTAGCTAATTGCATCAAGAAAGCTGCCATATTGATTTGTGACAATAAAAAAGACAAAATAATTAAATCTTACATAATCTTCCTCCTGCTCCCGTATATCATCAGTTTCATCATCCTTCTCCTGCTCTTCCTCCTCCCCAGACTCTCTCTGCTTCTTTGGATCAAGCGGAGCAGCAAATATCAATGGTAACAATGCCGCTAGCAACAACAATATCTTCCAGCTGGCCATCCCTTAAAGAGACTACAACAAATAATTATGAATACAGAATCAACCATATGGTGGTAGCTAATTTTTATATAATCCAAATGAACTGTCACGACTGAATGTTATATATGTTTACACATATATATATATATATATATATATATATAACATTCAGTCGTATATATATATATGTGATAATAGAGGAATTAATACGTAACTACATGAATATTGAAACTCGACAGCACTGTTTCGTAAGGTACAAGTACCTCACTCATCAGGAGCTTCATGTTTAATTCACTGCACCAACGAGCATACATATACTTCGCAAATTAACATATTAATTAAAAATAAAAA